GAACCATTCAACACGTGACCACACCATGTGGGCTCCGTGACTGAGGTATTTCTGAATGCCAGGCAACACTCTGCCGATCACTAACTTGCAACCGAATGACTAAGTTTCCAAATATTAACCGGAATTTGTGGGTTTGAATCGCCTTGGAGATGCGCATTAATGATGATTCCCAACAAAGATGAAATAACTGTACAATTTTCCTTGACTTTTCACCACCGACTGATTACGCTTGATGTTTGCTGTCTTTTTCACGTAACGTTTTCCCGTATGAAAGCCGATGTGCATTGTAGGTCACCTTTCTTCTTCCTAAGTATAGTAGGTTTTCGCGAGGTTTTTTGCCTGGCGTTTAGGTTGGCTATCGCATTTTCATTTTTTAAACAATGATAATATACTTCATATGCATTACGCTGAATTCAGTGTTGAAGCACCCTGCAAGTCTGAGAATCATATATTTTGCTGGGTTGTTTGACTCTACCGTGTGTGTGTCATGCTAAATAGGTAAATGTGGCTCAAAATCTACCGTGAGAAATCATATATCCAGTTTCAAACATAAAATAGAAATACAGAACTGACACGGTATAAAGTAACGAAATACACATACACTGAACAAGTAGTTAAGGTCACAACAGGTCAACACTCATATCCTATTTCCGAGATTGGGCCTCAGCTTGACGTTTTCCGAACTCCTCTTGAACCTACATGGGCGTATCATATGATACACTTTGAATATGCCATTAACTCGGTTCACATATTTTTGCCGTTGCTTTCATTGACTAGGAATAAGTTTGTCTTTCTAGGCCCACTTACAGAAGTGTTTCTCAACCAACTGAGCCACAGAATATTTTCGAAACACCTGCTCATGAATATGGCGTTCGTTAATCTGATCTTTCAGGTCGCACAAACCGATGTGGGTGGCTTCCAGTTGCGAGAGGAGGCCTAGTGTGGGAAGTTTTCTTTTGAACATCTGATTTTCACTGTTTCAGGTAAATCAGTATCACGCGGCTCATTCCGCAGTTAAAGCCTACCTGAGCCAGAAAAAGAAAAATACCCCCTCCTGGTGTTTCCAAACACCCTTTTCGGCGAACTATCTTCTGGGCTTTAACTCCGATGTGAAGCAAATCCATAGCCAATCTGGTCCCTCAAGTTAAGTCTGCTAAACTTGGAGGGTTTGTGGGCTCGGTCGGTGGATGAAAACTTCTCTGTGTGGACAGTAACCTAAATTTCACAAACCTTAAGGCAGATACGTCATGAGAAGTAACACAGTGGAGCATTGATGAAATGGAAATCGTTCTATTCATCCGTTAACCATCAAAGGACACTGCTGAACTGATTTTAACCTCTTAATAACCATAAACGTTTAGTGACGATTGTTGTTAAAAAAGTTAAAAAGCCAAGAGACAATTCACCTGCTGTTTCCTGCTCATGTAGATCATATTCTAGTCGTTCGTCCTTAAAGTGCGTATGTTAGTGGTGAGTAAGGGGATTCTGCTCTCAAATGCGAACCAAACAGTCAAGAGTTCAAATTACTACCCAGGAGGTCATGGGTTGGATTTTCGCTGGAGTTTCGTGAGATGCGCACTGATGATGGTTCCAAAAAAGGCAAAACAGTCGTTTAGTGATTCACGGTTTTTAGCACAGACTGGTTCCTCTTGCAAGGCGAAATATTTGTAGAAAATTACACAGATCTCCCCACTCTACCCATGAAAATTAGGCGTAGGTTCAGTTCAGATCATCCCATGCCATGTCCTACGGACGATCCCAAGGTAGAAGACCAAAATATGCGGAATTTCTACACAATGATTTTTACATTTTATCCTGTCCAGTCAACCTTCTGCTATTTCCCTCAAGAAACAGGACGATACCACAAAATCCCGTAAATACTCTGAACATGGTATTTCCACAGCTTTCAGAAGCATTTGCAGCATACTGCGGCATACTGTAGGTAACTCCAGGCCAACCGAATTCTCCAAGTAACGACTCATGTGTAAGGTTTTGTACATCCGACATTACTGTACGTCTTTACCACGATGATCAAGGGATACCACTGGTACACACAGGAATTCTGTTGCTGATATGTAACTTCAAATGCACAAGTTCTGGAGCGCTGAGCTAATGAGGGCCTGTAGTTAGCCGCAGATCAGAAACATTTTATCTCTAGTATGTCACCGGTACCATTATAAAGTGAAACATGTCTTTCATAAGAGTTTGAGTCTCAGCATGTGTCAATTTACCACACGCCCTTTTCTTAGTAATTTTGTTCCTTTCGTGTCCTTTTGAGAATTTTGTCTTCGTCATCTTGGCAGGACTAAACTTTGTTGATTGGTTGGGTAAAAACGTGCAACAAGGAGCCCTAAAGACGCTTGCAATGTGTCTGTCGCTCTATGGTAGATCTCCTGGTTGTCTGTAGACGTGCATTTTATGGAAGTTTCAGCTGTCAGTCCGATTAGACAGAGTCAACCAAGTGCACCGGAGATAAACTCGATTTTTTAAACTCCTGACTTATCATAGATAAACGATTGTCGATTGCCATACTCAGTGGTCCTCAGTTCTTCAAAAGGTTATTCCTGCCCAAGAGTGATAAGGAGATCTGGAATTCTGCCCACAAATACAACGGCTAACTTTTCGGGACAGGAGCGATGTCTTTTCCTAATGAATATGGTCCCTGTTCGATGGTAACGAAATTAGGAGCTGTTGTGTTTTTTACAGAATACCAAAATGTCAACAAGATGGTTTCCCGAGTATTTGTAAACCGTCGTTTAACCGACAGAATCGAGTCGAATCGTTCAGCTTTAGCAGCCTTCCGTTGCCTAACTGCCATGCCACTCAAAGGTTGCACGAGGGCTGGAATACTGCCAGGTTGCCCAAGCCTAGACAGGGGAAGTCGAGAGGCAGAGGGTGGATTCGAACCACGAACCTTCCTATCAGTAATTCCATGCTCCAACTACTTCGGCCGTCTCGCCCCCGTTTAATCGATAGAGACTAAACTGGAGCAGATAACCCAAACAATCAACACTGTACATAGTGGGGCACTCAACTAGTGCACTGGACTTGGCTCAACAGCGGAGCAAGTCAGGCTTGATGTATCTGAACTCAGTTCGCGCTGCTTTGTCAACAACAAGAATCGATAATTTAAAGTATCGTGAAGTATCGTGTGCAGTATCAAGCTGGCTTTCGTCTCCCGGATTAAAAACCGCAACCAAAACGATCCACATTAAAGAGCTCAGTGATCTGGGTAGAACTGATCGAATGATGAATATATTCAACCAAACATCGTGAGCTGAGAGTTTTCGTTTTCTCACATGATTAGGTGTTACCGCGTCTTAAGTGTTAGCATCTGTGTTCCCGCCTCTGGTGATGAGAAATGCAAATGCATTTCACTCCAAAATAGTGGCCCAAGCATCTGCACAAATGTCCAATCAACGTCCATCTTCAGTGACCTTGTACAATTTTTTTAACGAATATTGTGCGCAAAGAGCACCAGCCATTGCTGCAATAACGAGAACGTTGGAGTGGTTTGAGAAAAATATGGAGAAAAATTTCGCCACACTAAACCGCTTATAAAGGATGAACAAAACGCTTGGACAATTTCCGAGCGGTCTGGATTGTGAATTCCGTTAGTCAGGCATGCCCCTCCGATTCCCCCTAACCTTATCTCGTAAATGATCACCCAGGTTCACAAGTGAACACTCATGAGACACCCCAAATTTTAGTGATTTATTCGTTCATACACTGCACCGTCCTGATTAGACTAAATGTAATGAAACCAGTATTTGGTTAATAAAGGGTTTTAACCACCCTTTAAGTTAGGTTGCTTTTTTTAGCACACTCGGCTGAAGAGTTTTACAAACGGGTGAATTGGGTGAGCCTAATCTGAGTACCTGGTTGAGTCGGTAACGCGACGGTGGATGTGAGACAGTTTTGCCTTCTGTATGGGTAGGTTTCGGTTTGACTCGTCTCTACCAGACATCCTAACCAGCCACCTAAAGGGAGTGATTTTAAACTAAGCTAGGTACTTCATGTGACCAACCAACGGAAAGGCCATGGCTAACTAAGCCAAAATCTTTACCTTTCAGTAAACCTTGCTTGTGAGTAAACGGTTTGTTCGGCCGCGAGTTTGGTTACACAGGAGTTGAGCTAACAATTGAGCATTTGAGTTTATCCTGTTTCGAGTAGTTATTTTATCAATATAGAGCGACATCAAGTGTGGCTGTAGACCAGCACTAAGGGCTAGATACGCTTCAAGCAGAGTCCGCAATAATTTGGTTTCTTCTCGTTTTTACTACTTTGTCCTACTGACGACGATCACTTCACATCTCTACCGCCCTTCAGCTAAGCCACCCGATTAGCGCTGAGTCAAGTCAGCAAGAAAAGGAAGCGGAAAGTGCATAGCTAAACCCAAGGCCGAATCGGAAGTGCGTGGGAATCTACATGGACCAAACTCTCCTGCAAATTATTTTTATCCCCTTATTTCCAACGCCCGTTTCCACAAACCATCAGACACTTCGCATCACGCCACACGTGTCGGATTCCTTCCCAGTTCCACTTGGCAGTCAATCGTTTTTAACTATAAGTGGTTCCTCAAAGCCACTGGAGGGTTGTTTATTTTATTTTCGGTTTACCAATAAAAATGTACCGTCCTCGTTTTTCCGAACAATACTTGGCTGGAACTCATATTACGGTGAAATTTGAAAGTGCAACGTGGTAAATATTATCAACCTCTACTACCGAGACTGCACTACACCTTCCAATAAACCCATGTATGCAGTAGCACAATCTCCTATTTTGATGGATAATTTTGAGCTCTTTCAGAGTAACGCATAGAGTGTTTTTGATATTCTGAATATATCTAGAAATCATTGCTGTATTCGGTCAGTATCTGGATTAATAGACTGCAAATGGAATAATAGTTGATGATTTATCATTAACCGTTTGTCACAAAATCACTTTAATACCGCACTCGAATGCAAAGTATGCCGAATTCTCCTAATGGTGATTTACAGCAACTCCATATTCTCGCCACTGGTGGCTTCATTCGAAGTACCAGTAACTCAAAGGTGTTTGAAATGCAAGGCGGCAACATGTCGCATGACCGCAAGATGTGGTCCCCCGTAGATATCTTATCTGACTACATAGCGTAAGTGTAAAGTTTAATATGAACAAATGCTACTTTGGAAAAGGAAAGATAGGTCATTCATAGCCGGAATACAAAACTCTCCGGGTAAGATGGCTACTGCGGCAAATGGTGGTCACGTTACCGAATAAAGTATGGTGTATGTGATGACAGTCCCAACTGCTCTGCCTAGCATGCAGAAAGGGTGAATCCCTTGCGTTGTCAGGATTCTATTGCATGAACCTTCGAAGAAGAGTACATGCCACCACATAGTCAGATTAAGATATCTCCAAGTAAAGAAATCGCTGCACTAGGCTAAGAGTCGTTGTACACAATGTGTATGGTTCGGTTGACAACCCAGAGCAACTTACTCTTCCCCAACATAGATGAGCACCTATAGCCCCACTTGCCGCTTCGCATACTCAAGCAGAAGACCGCAGGGGTTCCATGTCCTGAAGGGGAGAATAGGGGAGTGGATAAGATCACATGACCAGTCGGAACAAGATGTTTAATTCTCCGGTCTCGTGACCAGGCAACTCCTTTTCGAACCCGTGTTTAATATTTAGATTTTAAAACAAGCGCCTAACTAGACGGTGAGATGTGTAGTAAAGCTTACTGATCCTGGTTACGCAGTTGAGGTCATAGACAATCACATGAATGTTGAACTAAAAATACTGCTAAATTAATATACCGGATTCTTTAAAGAATCCCGTATGTTGCACTTTTGCAGTGAGTAAATCACACTCCAATACCTTTAGCCTGAAACAAGCTGGATTGCCATTAGTATGGCAAGGGAACGTTGTATTTCGTCCGATGATACACTCGACGAGACCTTCTGGGAAAACTGTTACCAAGAGACATAGACCTTTACGAAAGCAGCGCGTAATCGAATAAGATTGGAAGTTTTGTCTCTAACTACCCTAAGCAAAGGCAACTTTAGTGGAACATTGGTAGTTTATTACTGCAGTATCAAGTGCCCTCAAGTAGATATCGGAACCATCGAGGAATCCAGTTGTATCTGAGAAAATTGAGTGGTAGGTTTATCCATCTGAAACTCGGAATTGAGTGTATCTGGCGCCAAAAGTCGATGGTTTCGTGGCACTGAATGATTAACCTGATAAAAGGGCATAAATATCGTCCACTAAGTTACACGAGATGCAAAAAAGTAGCAAGGCCGCTCCAACGACCACTGATGTTCCTTGAGAACCCGAAAACAAGACGTTGAAATCGATGTTCCACTGGAAGGATACCTACCAATCGTTGAGTAACAAGGAACATGCTCAAACGGAAACGTAGTGGTCTATCGGACACTAAGCTTAAGAAAATTCAGTGCACATGTTAGAAATAAGAAAGAGGCGACAAAGTGACGCCCATCTTTTAGAATGTATGTAGACTCTGTAATTGAACTGATAAGCTTTGACGCCTAGCTTCAGTTTTTTTATGTCACTGGCTTAGTGATTAACTCTTTGGGTAGCCAAGATCTGTTCGTGCCCGCATATAGTCCCATATAGTCAATAGGCCGATATGAGTGGTAGAATCTCTAGAAATGCGACATAATAATCAGGATGCGACCCCTCGACTGCATCGGAACGGCTTCCAACCTATGAAGTGAATTCTCAAGCAGGCCCCTACAACAGTCTAACCGGCAGAAATAGTAAACCGACTGAATGGCTCTAAATGCTCTTCCAAAAGACATATTCTTGAATTCAACTTGGTACTGATTTATCTGCTTTTCAATGAAGATTTCGTCCTGTCAATGAGGCCAATCTGTGCTGAAAAATCTAGAAGCTGTACAGCTGTTTCATCCTTGCTGTGAATCATCGACATTTCGCGTATCAGTAGACTCAGAGTCTTGAACTAACGACCGTACAGCCACTGGTTGGACACTTGACCATTTGGCCACTAGGTGCTGGTCAGCAGTATAATCAGCAGCTCGTACACAGGCGTGATATAGCACCCCTCATCCTCTAATCGCGAAAACCACGCCACGTGGTCGATTGGTGCCTGGCTCCTCGCGTGACGGTTTCTGTGTTTTGACTAACGTTCTATGACTGTTTAAACGAGCCTTTTTTAATCTATCCGATGATTTTTGTAAGAATACAGTGGGCCGATATCGATGACCTATGAATAATTTGCCTCGTGGTCAAAGGACTTCCAGAACCAATGAACGTACCACACATTGAGACAAGTGACCAGGGTCATTGGATGCTCCCAAATTTTCCCACTGCCATTGTACCATTTTCTTATTCCGATCAGGGCTGTTACATTTCATTAACAAAATTTACTCAGCTGCAATCATCTTCTGCGTATTGCATGGTTGATATATAAAAATTATTCCTCTAAACCCATGTGGTTCCTAACCATTATTTGGAGGCGTGTGCGGAATAAAACATACGAGTTAGTAAGCCGTATTGTGTTGAGTGACAAGCATTTAGTTGATCAGCATAACCTTAATGCATCAACGGTTACACGCAGGCCCAGGCCAACTCACTCGGAAGATTAGGCCAGTTTATTGAGCCCAGTTACTAGTCTAACCACTCTCAAAGCCTCCTCAGTGGTAAACGACCGATGATTAATAACCCGATTTATTTTCGGGTAGCAGGCAGTTCCTCTAGTAACTTGTATAAAACGCAGTTTCTTCCCTAGCCTATCGCACATTAGTTGGTCAACACTCGTAGTTAAGCGCGCACTCCTGGATTGTCCACCTTTGGGGCGTGATCAGCAGGCAATTGGAACATGTCACCAGTCACACCAAAGTGTAGGCGCACAATTTTGACAGTACTGGACGTATTAAATGAAAAGCGTCCTGACAAGCTACATAAATCATGCGATTGCATGGTATACCTGCGCCGTACCATTGTAGCAAAAATAGAGATACTTGGGGCATGTCTACGCATGCTTCGGCTCCCTTGACATAAACTGCGCGCTTACATCATCAAATTTTCTGACTGTGAAAAAATTTTCGTATGTGAAATATCTGGTAAATTATCGCTGAGAGGTGCAGTGTTCCCTGAAATGGCGTATGCGGGATCAATCACAAAAGACCAGGTCATCTTCCGCCTTCTAATCTGTCTTAATCACAAATACTAGGAACGTATTTAACTAACAGACAGATGTTATTAACTAATTCAGACTGACGAAACCATCGCAAACCCATAATTCGTTAACCATTGTGGTAATTTATGGCAAAAAAGCGCGCTTTCTCTGGGTTGAGTGTATAATTCTGACTATTTGACACCATTTGTAAAAAGACGTTTTGTGTGGAACGACTATCCAAATGAATCATCGATGAGAGTTGTCTATTTACATTGGAGTTTTCTCATGAAATTTGACTGATTTGGTCCAAAAAAATACTTGGTCCCGCCGGCTTAACTCCCGGCGTGTTTCTCAAGCCTAGCCTGTCAACTTGGTTCCGACTTATTGAAAAGACGATTTAATGTCAGTCATTCTCAAGTTCAAAGAAGAGGCGAAAACGCCATCCGGAGACCGCCAGACATCAGTATGATTGCCATTGTCCCAAATTTCACCCTGGCACCATTCTAGAACAGTCGATTTATCACCGGAATGGTAAAGTACGCAAGAATCAAGCTAAGTTTTACCTTGACCGGAGTTACATCGACCGTTTCCGAATTTTACATTAAAAACGGGATCTGTGCCATCTGTCAACAGACAGATTGTATTTTCCAGCCTGTATTGACCATGTGAGACTGGAGCAGTGTTGGGCGTTGTGGGGCGTCCCTTCTGGGTTCTGGCCTCTTAGAATTCCCATGAACGTCCACTCGGGGACGCTTAGTTTCTTCCAAAATATATCCCCTCAATGAGCCTTATCCAGTAACATCAGACAAGAATGCCTTCTCTCACTGCATCGCTTTACATCCGTTGTCAACGCTACCTAAGCTTCCTTCATTGGCTTCCAAAATCTAAGTGAACTAAATCCCCTCAATTGTGTGTTCACAGATACTGACTGCGTGATGATTCTCTTGGGGAAGGTATTTCTTAAACACAAACGGTTTTATTTAACCCCAAAAATTCTGTTGCACTGCTCGCAGTCAGAAGTGTCGCCGCCAGACCAGACGGAAGCAAACCCAAGCCTTATAGCGAGGTTGAACCGATCGTTGTGGGGTTGAGTTGATTCGTCATTTTTCCGCAAATGTCCCGACCAGCTGTCAATGGACGATAACACTTGAATTTGTAAGATCATACTATTTTTGCAAGTCACTTATATTTCTGGCACCGACTGGTAAATAGCTTGGGTGTTAAAGGTGGGTGTGTGCTAATTCGGATTCTATCTCCTGTGAAGTGATGGTGTGGCTGCTGAGTGGGTGGGAATTTGCCCCACATGCATCCTAAGCACAGTGTCTGCGAGTGACACGTGATCAATGGAGTACGCCGGGCAGTCAAGAGATGGGAGAGATCTCATTACATCGGACGACTGGCCGCTCTATTCAGGTTGGGTGCTTCATGTATCACGAGATCGTTCGGTATATAGACCGCATTTTTCTAAGGAAATGCAAGGCTGAAACGCGCAGTAAGCATCCAGTAGTGAAGAAACGGACACATTTGAGCAGCTATCGGACCACCAATCTTTGCCCGAAATGATCTCTTCACTCTGTGGTGATAACAGGTTTTCTTCGGGGCCTTTGTGACCTACTGACTAGCCACATCGACTGCTCGTACTCCCGAAACATGCTGTAGCACCATGGACATTGCCCGAGTAATATGGGTTGCTTGTGTATGAAGATAAGCTGGCTCTACCTTCAGGCGAGTACGCATACAGCGCAATGGTCGTTTCCCGCGCGTGTCCCTCATACGCCGAGCTGTCAACCAAAAGGATGCACCACGTTGCAGATCCTGACGAATAAGGGAAACTATCTCATCCAGAGCCGTTGCGCTTCAGGCAATCTGCCTTGGTCCGTAGCAGACTGAGAGCGTTAGGCCAAAATCATAATAATCCGAAGAGCGTTCCGGATAATGCATTCGAATCACAAACTGACGACGTTTCCGCCAGAATTCCGGATGGACCG